ACTCCTGAGTCAATAATGGTTCCTATTAAACACGAGCGAATCAGTGAATCACTGCAAGAGCAGAAACAAAAGAGAAAGTGCAGCAATCTGGAGGTTTACTGTAAACAACTCATTCACTGTGAACTGCTCACTGCATCGCGCACGTCAGCACCAGACACTTACAGATTAAAGGGGTCATATGATGCGATTTCAATTTTTCCGTACAGTATTTGAAAAATAATGTGTTTTTTGAACATTAAAGCATGTCAACATATTCTGCTACACCAAATACACAAAATAATGATCTTTAAAATAGCATCATATGACCCCTTTAAAATGGATTTCCAATACACAATAACACCGCTTCTTATGAAAGATGCTACTTTGGAGGTTTGGAAAGCAAGTCAGGTTGGATTTGCACTTCACACTCATCCAGTTCAGAATGACACAACTGGAGAAGGAAAAGGAGTGAAGAAACCTCCTAGGAATGGGAACGGGAGTTGATCTGCGTTTTTTTTCTTGAAGGGTGGAAAGAAGGAGCGGGTGGTAGGGGAAAAGCGGCGATCCTGCGCGCAGCAGCTGTGAACTTGAGAGACGCGGCGCGCTGCCAGATAGCGCTCCAACGCTAATGCACCTCGCCAGCGTGTGTCAGCGCCATGACGACAGGCTTTTACATTTAATTACTGTTAACCAGACATCCTTTCATTCTCACAGCAAAGAAAATGTTATCATCTATCTCGGTCTTAGAGACGCTTAAATATGAAAGATCACTGGGCGGCCTCGGCGGCGCAACGAGAGAAAGGAAGTGAGGTCAATGATTTAAAACTCCTAAAGCTCTTAAGACGTCGCGTCTGTGCTCGTCTCCGTGACCTACGGCGACTGTCTCTGGAGATTTCAGTCTCAGAAAGCCAAGACTCACTGACTTTATCCTTCTTTTTGAATTCCTCTAGACAGAAAAGACAGAGAAGCTCCAGAATGTTTGTAAAACTGCAGCTGCTTTGTGTAGATGAAAACTTTTTTGTTTCATCTTAGAATCATTTTTATTTCATTTTAATCAGTCTTTCTGTCTGTATCTTAAAATATCCACTTCAGAAACACTTTCTGCATATTTTTTTGTTCCATTTAGGAACCACTTAAATAGAAAATAACTTATATAGACAGAGAAAACAGCATGAATTTAAGTTTTAAAACTGTGTAAAAAAACAACAATGTAAAAACTCCTATTGCCCACAAAGACATCTGCATTCATAAACATTCATAAATAAAATTTACTGCTGCATTAGCACAACTTATTGCAATCTTTAAGCATTGGAGTTAACAGGGGGAGGCCGGGGTTATAGTTGTCAAAACTGTACAAATCTTAGTAAGATTTCAAATCAAATTCCAGTTGCACAAATGCTTGTTTCAATATCACCATTTCAATATCACCATATTTGGCCCTTCTGTTCGTTCAGTGTGTGTTCAATGAACTGAAACTTTTTTCCATGGGCAATAATGGCGGAAAAACCAATAACTTTTTAGCTTTGTGTCTACAGAAATTGACTTGCAGAAATAAACAGCCTGAGAAATATTCACTGGAGAACAACAACAAGCCCCCTAATGAAGAGCTTGTAAATGTGACCTATAGTGTTATTGACAATTTTACAACAGTTGCCTGATGAAAGATTTCGGTCTTGAAGTTTATGCCCTAAAAAAAGAGTTCAAAGTATCAGATCTTTCTGCACATACATCTGCAGCCTATGTGAATGGATAACACATGCTGGAGCTCGAGCGCCACAGAAACGAGAGTAAAGAACACAGTATTCTCAATGCAAGGACGCCGTCGCAGGATGCATCACACGTCTACCTGCACAATCTCTTCATGCATCTGCTGGTACACAAGCTGTGTGCACGGGTTAAATCAAGTGCAGGCATAAACTTATGCAGCTATTTGGACCTTTTCCTGGGTTGAGATGTGAGATGTTTTCTCCACTTAGAGAAAGCTAAAGTACCACTTTTTCACAGTTTTTACAGACTGAGATGAATGGATTGATTTGGTATTGACTTTTGGTCACCAAAACAAAGTCAGTGTGTCACATAACCTCCATCATGAATAAAACATCATAATACTAAGGAAAAATGTTTCCTAGATGGTTACACCAGTTGACATTTAGTCACTGCATCTGAATGTTTTGTAGAATACAAAATAAATTGTGTGTTTTTTCAAAAACGTAGCCTATTAAAAACAGCATACTTGGCACTTGTGTTTTAAACCAGACTTTCAAAAGATTTTGGGTAGAATGGAAATCCCAAGAATTTGAATCCCAAAATTACCACTAGATAAAGTCAAGACAATTTTTAATTTGTAACTATGGACTGCGTTGACAAGAGTGATGTAGAAGTATTCACCATTAAGCTTACACTGGTGATGTACCAACATCACAGTAATAGCTATATGACATGAGAGCAGTGCCTGTAGATATGTGTTATTTAAGAAAAATATAATTATATAAATATAATTTTTTTTCTCAAACATAGTGTGGTGTAAAACGCCCCCAATGAACATGGCTTAAAGGGTTAATTCACCCAAAAATGAAAATTAGCCCACAAATTACTCACCCTCAAGTCATCCTAGCTGTATATGACTTTCTTCTTTCAGACGAATCCAGTTGGGAGTTACATTAAAAATTGTCTTTGATCTTTCAAGCTGTTTAATGCCACTCAGCGGGTGTCGCATGCATCAGTCCAAAAGAAGTGAAATAAAAAGCGCCCATCCATATATAAAAAAAAGTGTCTCACACGGCTCCGGGGGGTGAACAAAGGCCTCCTGTAGCGAATCGACGTGTTTTTGTAAGAAAAATATCCATATTCAAAACGTAATAATCACTTTAATGTAGCTTGCTCCAACCGTTGTACAAAGCTGTTTCATGGCACTCAGCGGGTGTTGCATGCATCAGTCCAAAAGAAGTTAAATAAAAAGCGCCCATCCATTAAAAAAAGTGTCTCACATGGCTCCGGGGGTTGAACAAAGGCCTCCTTTAGCGAATCGACGTGTTTTTGTAAGAAAAATATCCATATTCAAAACGTAATAATCACTTTAATGTAGCTTGCTCCAACCGTTGTACACTGGACGTATGAGTTCAGCTCTGCGCATGCACCACTCAGAAGTGACGTACACAGAAGCGCAGCGGAGAGATCAAAACAAAACAACGGTCACTTATTAGAAGTACAAAACGAGGATTTGTAAAGAAGAATGTCGGAGGATTTCGATATAAGCCAAGAGAAGACTTGTTTTCCTTTTCTAAAGCAAGGAAACTTTGCTTCTTTTGATCCTGTAAACAAACGTTGGTTTTCATGAGACGCACCGGCGCATGCGCAGCGCTGAACTCATACGTCATCCCCCCGGAACTGCTTCTGTGTTCAACTGCTGGCGCAAGCTAGATTAAAGTGATTATTACAT